AAACTAAGTTTGGTTGGTAAGCAATCATAGCCACTTGAGACTTCGACAGATTCAGTCGAAGGGTTAGCAACCTTGGAATCAGAAAAGCCTCCCAGATCTGTAAAGACTCTGCTTCTTGAGCCTTGGTTGGGGCTGGAAAGGATCTTGTGAACCACTCGGGACCATACTTCCTTGCAACAAATAGAGCCATGTTCGACGTGAACTCATGACGTTTGGAAAACATCATGACATAACTAAAGAATGTTGGCCTGAGGTATTGTCCTTCTTCGCAGGAGTGATTTAGACCAAGCGAGTCCCTTTGACTCTTCTATGCTTGATGTCTTCAGCAGTTTCATTTATTGGTTTTTATTGGGGAGACTGGCTTTGAATGATGCATTTAGCCAGAGTTGTAATAGCCAAAAGGGACCAGACATCAGAAGGTTCCCTTTTTCTCCCAAATCTTTGAGTTGGGCCACTCCTTCACTTAGAGATTCGTAGATATTCCCTAATATCATTTCGCTTAGAGAGATATCATGGCCTTTGTGAAGTTAAGTGGCCAGAGTTAGATATCTTCTAGCTACTTTGAGGGATTTTGAGCAGAAGACACAATAGGATAACCATACAGCCAAAAAGGCTATGTGTTCTCTATTGGAAACATCATCAGTTGTTTTGTCGAAGTAGTGTATTATAAAGTGAGAATATGTGGCTTTAGTAGATACAAAACCTATGGAGTCGTTAGATTCTAGGTCTGGGTCATAGAGGTTTCCAGTGGGTTTGAGCCCTGTGATAGTGGCTATGTCGAAGAGTGTGGGAGTCATCATCCCACAAGGGAGATGGAAGGTAAAATGGGTGCTATCCCAAAAATACAAAGAAGAAACCAACATGGTCGAACAGTAATCAAGACCCGTTTTCGATAGCATAATCAGGTTGTAAATTCCCAAGTTCTTCCAAGTTTGGGATTTAACTTTTTCTATTTTTGCTAGCCAGTTCATGTAATCACAAGATTCTTTGAAGGATGGGGTTTCTCTAAAAACTCTAAAGATATTTTTCATATACCTTAAATCTATATTATTCAATACTACTGCATCAGAAGAAGTTTTCTCAACCCTAGATTTGTTGGCTTGCCCTATGGGTTTTGATTTGTGGTAAGAGGGGAAAAGTCCCTAGATTTATTGTGATCAAAACTAAGAGTAGGTAAAGGACCGCATAGTGCATGTCGTTTACCAGAAACAGTAACGGGAATAAGTACCTGAGATTCATATATTTTCCTCTTTTCTTCTTCAAACGGCTCAGAGATGAACTGCTGATTTCCCACCATCTTTGGCACTGATAGTGTGTCAAATGGAAGAAGCTGAGAGATCTTCTTCAGGTATTTAGATTTGTGGCCTTTCTTGGAGTCTTTGATGTTGGTGGTTGAAGACGCCATTGTTGAGGTTTAAAGAAAATTTGGGTATTTTTTGAAGGTTTGGAAAGTGAAGAGAGAAGAAAAATGCTTGAAGATTTTAGGGAAGTGTAAGAGTTAAAATGGCTAAGTTTAGAGCAATTTATAAGCTTGTGGAAGTTCAAGGACTTCAAATCAGCATTAAAGAGATGATGGTTAGTGCGACACGTGTTCCACCAGGGCCGTTTGATGGAACATGGATAGTTAATGCCTAGTGCACGATTTCCTAGGGTCTAGGAAATATGATGATGGCTAGATATTGTGGCGTGCTTTGATGAGATGTTTCAGAAACCGCTATGATAATCATGACGTCATGGGTTTTTTGGAATAGTAGTAGGCATCAAAAGCATGCAAAAGTTGTTCAAGGCGTCGAATGACATTATCAAACAAATGCCTTACTCTTCCGTGATGTCAAAAATGACATTTTTAGGGGGCAATTTGTTGGCTCTAAATTTCGACGCCTGAATTGGATGAAAAGAAAGTAATAGAGTTTTTTGGAGAATCAGATGACTTCGACCGGAGCCATATTTTTGGAATGTGAGTCGAAGGCGTCCTTTTTCCAGGAGAAACTATTTTACAGACTTAGAAATATTTCTTAGCAATTGGAAGATGTGATTTGACAGAGCTGTTACTAAAGGCATTTCAACAAGAAGATTTGAATTCAAATAAAGGGTTCATTCTTATCCATTTCTCAAAGAAGACACGTGGAGCGCTTCTAGGAATCGAAGACATGCAGAACTCCACTTATCTCGATTTAGTTTGCTAGCCATTAATGGCAGTTATTTTTGATTAGTATAAATAATAAGTCTTAGTGTTAGGATATGGGTGTTTTCAATTGTGTACAAATTCTTCAATATACTCCAAGTACCCGTGTGTAGACAAACGAGTTTGTAAGAATGCACGTTGATGTAACACCATTTTTACACTTCAATGCAATTCAATAAGTCTTTTTCATTAAGAATTTATCCTTTCTTTATGCAAGTTACTTTTTACATTTCTTACCAGTCTTTCAACTTTAATCCTTCGTGTTCAATTCCATTTACATTTGAAATAAGTTATTTAATTATCAACTATGTCTAAGTGTTCATCATTGTCCTAAATTTCATTTAAGATCAATTAGCACATGTCTTAGGATTTGTATGGTCGATCCTACAAGTAAAACAAATCTTTTTCGATTTGTAAGACCAACGGTTGTTCACCAATTTTTACGACGAACAGTATGTTGAATAAAAATTGTAGGGATGCACTATTTTCTCTTGCAAGGGCAATGGTTTTTAATGAGGCATCCATAGTTAAACCAAATGTCGTTATAAAGCATATCCTAGGACATGATCCAAGAAAAGGCCCATGTTAATATACCTCTAGCATAATCGGCTGCGATCGGGCTAAGTTAACATACCTCTGGCCTAACGAAAGTCCATGTTAATATATCTTTGGCGTAATAGATTGTGGTTGGGCTAAGTAATTTGAAACCTCTAGCCTAAATGAAGTCCAAACAAATTGAAGCCTCAAGCATAATCGGTTGCGTCCAGACTAAGTTAACATACCTCTAGCCTGACGAAAGTTCATGTTAATATACCTCTGGCACAATCGGGTGCGACCGGACTAAGTAAATTGAAACCTCTAGCCTAAATGAATTACAGGAAACTTAAAGCATCTAGCATAATCGGTTGCGGTCGGGATAAGTTAACATACCTCTGGCCTAATGAAAGTCCATGTTAATATACCTCTGACGTAATCGGCTATGGTCAGGCTATGTAAATTGAAACCTCTAGCATAAATGAAGTCCAGGAAACTTGAAGCCTCTGGCATAATCGGCTGCGGCCGGGTTAAGTTAACATACCTCTGGCCTAACGAAGTCCATGTTAATATACCTATGGCATAATCGGTTGCGGTCGGGCTAAGTAAATTGAAACCTCTGGCCTAAATGAAGTTCAGACAACTTGAAGCCTCTAGCATAATCCGCTGCGGTCGGGCTAAGTTAACATACATATGGCCTAACAAAAGTCCATGTTAATATACCTCTGACATAATCGGCTACGGTCGGGCTAAGATAAGATGCCTTTGTCCATGTTAATATTCCTCTGGAATAATCAGTTGCGGTTGTGCTAAACAAATTGAAACCTCTGGCTTAATTAAAAGAATTGGTGAGTTATAAGGTAAAACCATAGGTCAAATTCTGATTGTCATATCCAAAGTTATAGGGCATATAAATCTAATCATCAATAGTTATCTTAATTATATTAATATGTCGCACGAAAGGTCCACTTAGTTTATCAAAGCAGAGACATCTATTTTATGACTAACTCATGCATGTTTATAATTTTTTTTTAAACACTTCAGGCTCTACAGAAAACTGTCTGGGAGAAAGCAATTATGAAGATAACCCATAAACGGGGAATAAAATATGAAACCATCATAGTATGGGACACATCAAAACCCAAATACAAAACATCAACATTCATGAAACATTACATTACAAGATGGATAATCAAAAAGTTATTCTTCGTTCTTATCTTCACCAGCAGTTTCGAGGTTGACATTAACATCATGGTCTTCCTGGGTTAGATTGTCAGAAGGGGAAGGCTCGGCTTCCTCCACTCACTGCCAAACCATTTTCTTTTGAACTCGTTAAGCTGACCCTAGCATTCCGCTTATTTTCGGTCAAACAGTAAGAATACACATTGACCAAATAAAGAGACAACTCCATTCAACACACACTAATCCCAACAAACCCCTCCCCCTTCAAACTGAAATTCAACTGAAAAAATATTTTCCTTACATATGATGAGCAACCCTCCAGATCTTCCTTGAGATTCTTTAGTTGTCCATTCAACCTTTCTGCCTCCCCACAAAGAAAAAACCAACTCATCTTGCATCTTTTGAATTTTTGTCTTCTAGAGCAACACGATATCAAACAAACCTGTAGAAATTAATTGGTGCAAGCATCTTCTCTTAATTGCACTCCCACTTTCTCGAATATTGAAGGATAAAATACTCATTGATCATCACTGTTATTGACATCCTTCTGAGTTTACCCTGCTTAACTCCTCTTTTCCAAACGTTCAATTGCTTCAATATAGACTTCATCATCCTCGACACCTTATCTCCAAATTTGGCAGCCTTCTCCTAAATCTTCTACACAACTATGTAAAACATCAGAAATTATGATTGACTCGCAACATAAAGCAAAACCATTCGAAAACCTTTTCGAATCTAGATCTTCTAGTTAATCATATACAAAAATAGTTAATTCAATTCACAAGTAAAATTATAGTTAATTCATTTTAATAAAGTATTGAATTAATCATAAAAAAATATACATGAAAAGTTTATTTTTATTTTTATCTAGTCTCGAATTTCATTTGGTAGAAAATTGAATAAAAACACATACTATTTAACAATTATTTTAATAAAGAAAATTGAATTAATTAAAGTTGAGATCATGAACATAATAATAATACACGAATGTACTATGGTCTTCACGACATCATCAACACAAAAAGAACTCACTAACCTTTCCTTTCCAAATTCCAATACAAAATCAAATCATCATATCCCAAGTTGCATCAGCATCAGCATGAACCTCTTTCTCACCACCATCATCCTTGCGTGCGCCATATACTGTTCCAGTGGAGAAACAGTCATAGAGTCAAAAGCACAATCTGATTCAGTGGTTTGGATCGTTCAGCTTTCCGATCTTCATTTCAGCGTTCATCATCCTAACAGAGCCAAAGACTTCACCAACCTTGCCGGCCCCGCTCTTTCCGTCATCAACCCCTCCCTCGTCCTCATCACCGGTGACCTCACAGGTACAATTCATCACTTTTCATTGGTGATTCAATAGTGTCTGAGTATTTTAGTATTTGAATCTTCGGGTGTGTGTTGTGGTGATTTTGTGGATGCTATTTATTTGTTTATCAGATGGTAAAAGCAAGGATTTGCTAACGATGAAGCAGAATGAGGATGAATGGGTGGAGTACAGGAATGTGATGGATGATGTTATTCAGAGAAGTGGACTTCACAAGAGTCTGTTTTATGACCTAAGAGGAAACCATGATAGTTTTGGTGTTCCTGAAGTTGGTGGTTCCTTTGATTTCTTTTCTAAATACAGTATTAATGGACGATTGGGGAGAAATGGGAGTGTCAATAGTGTCACCATTGAGGTTAGCTCTCATTCTATGAAATTTCTGATATTTCTGAGAACAAAGTATAAAGTAGAACAATGCTAGCAACATAATCGTCAAGTGTATTTGGTTTGCTAAAATATGAAAGATTAAAGAGTATAAAAATATGTGTTTCATGTTGGATTCACCATTGAATCGTTTTTGTCAGTTAAGAAAATTTCACCTGGACAAATTGATTTTGAAAACATGTGTTTTGTTATTATTATTTGCTTAATGTTATCTCCTTTCTTATTTTCACATACTTGCGTTGTATCATACAGACCAACGAGCGGAAACATCTCTTTGTTGGGATTGATACCACAATGTCAACTGGCTTACGAGGTCCAACTAATCTTTTTGGGCATCCCACGGATCAATTACTAAAGGATTTGGACTTGGAACTTTCACACTGGGATTCTCGGTCGGAAAAACCAGTCACCAAAATAGTCTTCGGGCATTTTCCACTCTCATTTTCTGCAGCCTCTAGTTCTGGACGAACCTTGAAAGATGTTTTTCTAAATCATTCCATATCAGCCTACTTGTGTGGGCATCTCCATTCTAGGTTTGGCAAGAACTTAAAACGGCACCATCAGTTGAGTAATCGCTTTTTATCCCTGCAGAATTTTTTTCAGTTTAACATACATCAAAATTCTTTTGAAAGCACTGTAAATTGTTCGTTGAAATCCCTTCCAAAAGACTTTTGGGAGTGGGAGATGGGTGACTGGAGAAAGAGTACAGCCATTCGAATTTTAGCCATTGATAAAGGCCATGTTTCATATGTTGATCTTGATTTCAAGTCAGGGGCCAAACATGCAATTATAGTGCCCACTTTTCCTTTAGACTCTCGCTTCATGCAGACATCTTCATGCCATCATAACTATGAATGTCAATCAGCGGCTTCTTCATCTTACGAGACAATTCGGACTTTGGTATTTTCTGCTTCTCCACTTGAGTCTGTTATCGCTAGGGCCTATGATTTACGGTCCGGAAATCTTGAATTAGTTTTAGAAGCCGATATGACCAAGCATGCTGATGAGGGGAACCTCTATTTTGCTCCATGGAATTACAAAGCCTTCGAGGATACTTCTCCTAATAGATTTTGGCTTCAAATTGAATCAAACGACATCATGGGTAGATCAACTATGACCGAATTAAGACCATTTTCTATTAATGGTCATAGCTTCAAGATTTCTTGGAGCTGGAAGGAGTTTTATGTCATGGGATGTCAATGGGCCTCCTTATATTACCCAATGTTATGGTCTTCTCTGTGTTTTATGTTCTCCTTTCTTCTTGTTCCTAAAGCTCTCCTTGTTTTTCAAAAGAATATATATACTTACAAGAACTTTATCGCCAATAAAGGCTTAGTAAATGGTGTATTATGGATTCTCCAGGAACTATGCAGGGTTCATACATTATGGTTTGGTTGGATAGGATACCTATTCTATCTTATATTGTTCCCATGGTTTGTGGGGCAAGTTTTTACCGAAGGAAAGAATATGGTGTACATGACCTATATGGGTTGGGCTTTGGAGACTTCTAATGGAAAGGGGAAGCTTGAGTTTGTTGGATCCCCGGATATTCTGGTGTTGGTTCTTCCTCATATATTATTTGTTGTTTTGCCTGCAATTTTGGTCACTAGTGCACTGACTGCTGAAAGAGCTATTTACCGGGAACGAGTGTTGGCGTATTCAGGGAAGAAAGAAGACGATCATGATTCAAACTCTAGAAAAGTTTTATTAAATAAAAACCACAGCGGCATAATATCTAGTTTCCACCTTGGCAACCGAAGGATCCGTATGCTTCTGTGTGTGCTTTGCTTGGCAATATGTTGGAAGCATTTTATGGTAATGTTTTATTATTGCAAGGCAGTTTTTCAGCTATCCTTGCCTTTACCTTTTCTATTCTTGTCTTGTTTTTATTTATCGTATTTACTTTACTATTCCATTGCAGAATTGCAGAACTCTTGTAAAAGCTTATGATATGAACCCAGTACTCCATTTACTGGGTTATGGTCTTGCAATCCCCTTGTTATTGGCATCTGCTGTCAGTGAAACCAGGAATGCCTAATGAGTAAACTTGTTTGAAGGGTTCACTGGTTCTTGCCTCGAACCAAATCTTCCCCCAAGGATTCTACTACAGAGCGCACACATGTGCACGCGGCCAGTTCTGATATAGATCGAAACTAGTGGGGGGCAACAAATATTCCAATCCGGTGATTTGGCAAACCATGCCTGTAATCGGCCTTCGGTTCTCAGTCTACCAGCTCAAATGTACTAGTGGGGGGGTTTGAAGAAGGATGCAACAATGTTGTTATAATGGCTGAGTCACTTTACAAAAACAAGTTAAAACTTGTATTGGTAGAATGTTAATTTACAACTGAATTGTGGTGGTGGTGGTGTGACTTAATCACTCTTCGAAAAAAGAAAACTATCATTGTGGAAGCTTATGCTATTTTTTACTTTTTACTCAAACATCTAGTAGTTTAGAAGGATAATATAATATAATTTTATAAAATTGTTGCACTGAAAATTTTAAAATTAAGTGAGGTTTGTCTTTTGAAGAATTGTTATTAATTAACTCAACACTAATAAAAATCAGGCACGTACATTTCACAAATATATAAGGAATCTTTTAACCACAATATAATTTAATTTTCATTAGTGTTTGATTGCAGCTGCCCTAAATTGAGACAAACCAAATGAAATTTAAATAGGAAAACTAAATTGAAATGCTTAGCACAAGGTATCTTGTGCAATCTGAGGTAGAAAAAATTGATAGTAAAAGGTTTAAGGTATTTCTCTCATATGATAATATGTTGAATACATATTGGGATACCAATAAAAGAAAACTAGTTTAAAATGGATTTATCTTTATAAGAACACTAGCAACCTCATTCTTGTCTTGGAATGAACTCAACCATGGAATGTCTTATGACATCCAATAGGGTGGGAAAATATTCTATAAAAAATCAAAATTGTCCATTAGATTTCGAAAGTGCATCTCTAGACGCATTATGTACCAACGTTATGGCGCACCAAATGACGCTACCATAGATGAATATTAAAAAATATTTTTAAGATGCATCTCCGGATATTTTCAACAAATATATTGATAACTGATCAGATCAATGGACATTTCGAAGATGCATTTTCAGAGGTTTGGGGCAGGATTTTGAAATTTCAGTAACCTTTGCATGTTAGATATTTTCGGAGATACAACTAGGGCTGGAAATGAGTCGAGTCGAGTCGAACTCACCTCAGCTCGGCTCGACTCGTTAAGAATTGTTCGAATTCGAGTTCGAGTTCGAGTTCGACACGAACTTTTTTTTAAGCTCAAACTCGACTCGTTATAAGTTCACGAACAGTTCGATTCGACTCGTTAGGTTCATCTCATTAGGTTCAGCTCACATGGTTCACGAACTTAAAAACTATTTTTTAAAATATATATATTTTTTAGTATATTTGACATTTTAAATAAATATATAGTTTTTAAATAAAATATTAAAATAAAATAAAAGTTATCATATTGATATTTAACTTTATCTTCGAAATCTACTAATTCAAAACCTACACAACTTTCAAGAGATACATTTGAGAGTCTAACTCAAAAACTACTAAATTGAAGATTAAATTTGTCTAAGATTTGAAGTAAATATTTAAACCTAATCTTAAAGACAGTATAATTCTTTTCATATGTAATCGAGTTGACTCATGAACCTAACGAGTCGAACTATGTATAGTTCAAGTTCAGCTCATTTAGTTAACGAACTTAATTTTTCGCTCATACTCAACTCATTTGGTTCATGAACCTAGTTCAACGATTTAATTGTCGAGTCGAATTCCGAACTATCTTCGAGTTGGTTTGGTTCATTGCCAGCCCTAGATACAACTCTAGAATAATTTGATAAAATATTGAACTGCATAATCACACAGCCATACTTGTTTTTCACTCCAAACCCTCACCAAAAACTCTTCGATTCTTAATCCACATCTTCACTTCAAATCTTCAATCTTGTATTTCATCACATCAAATGGAGGAAAAGAAGTTGGAATTACAGGTAAATATCATTTATTTCAGGTCTCGTTTCTCACATTAATCTTGTTTTCGGTCTAAAAAAACATGTGTTTATCCGAAGATACATTTCTGGAACGAGTATGAACTCATCAGGAAATGCATCTCCGTATTTGTTTGTTTTTATTTTTTCAGCTTTGTTTACAGCATTAGCACTTATTTACTGTTCTGTTGTAATTGTTTTCATTGCATATGGTGCACCCCCGATATTTTCCCCAAAGATGTTGTGTCTCTAAATGTCAAATGTGTTGTTGTGAAGGCGTAAGATGTTGGCAACCAACTTTAAAATGGGCAAGAGTTTGAATTTTGTGATCACATGATTCAATGGATTCGTACGGATGCCTCCAAACTGTGATTTGGTGTGGTAATCGTAAGTTCCGATAATGGTTCGGATATAAGATGTGCTTTTGTGACAATGATGTGCGAAAGAAACGGGAAATGTATACCTCCTCTCCGGAATTTTAAACGAGATGACATTGTTTCAAGAAAATATGAGTGTCCTTTTAAGTTGTGTGGTTATATGTTGGCAAACAATAAATGGAGATTTAATGTCATATGTGGTTTACAAAACTATGACTTATGTGAAAAGTTAGCCAACCATCCAATTGATTGTCGCCTCATGCCGGAAGAGAAGGAATGTGTTGCTGACATGATATTGAATTTGGTTCAACCGAAAAATATACTTGCAACTTTGGAACATAAAAGACCCGAAAATATCTCAAATATCAAGCAAATGTACAATATTTGGTACCAAACTAACAAGGCGATGAGGAGGGGTAAAATTGAAATACAATAACTCTTGAAACTGTTGGATGATAACAGTTATGTGTCTACGTACCGAACGTGCGAGGATAGAGTTACCGTTAGAGATATATTTTGTACTCATCCTGATTTCATCAAGTTGTTCAACATCTTATTGTGCTCATAATTGATTCAACGTACAAGAACAACAAGTACAGACTTTCATTATTAGAGATGGTTGGTGTTACCTCTACTGAGAATACATATTTTGTCGAGTTTGCATTTCTAGAGAGCGAAAAAGAGGAGAATATTAAGGATCGAGAAAAGATGCCTAAAGTGATTGTTATCGATCACGATACTGCGTTGATGAATTCAGATATAAAGGTATTTCCTACTTCTTATGCATTACTTTATAGGTATCACATAACAAAGAATGTGAGAAGTCGGGTTAAACCCGCAATACGGACGAAACAAATAATGTCTGAAGATAGAAAATGGTGAAGGCGGGCGTGGTTGTGGAAAAAATAATAGATGCATAGAATGGTATAGTAAATTCTTCCACTAAAGAGTTATATGTCGGGTTTTTTATACATTTCAGGAATGTGTGCGAGAAATATCCTAATTTGTTGAAATATGTTGAAAGCACAATTCTTGACCATGTGAAGGAGAAAATTGTTTGTGCATGGACCAATTAGGTTAGACACCTTGGAAATACAACAACAAACCGAGTTAAGTCTATCCATACTACATTAAATAATTGGTTGGGAAATAGTAAGGGCGATTTGTGTAGAGATTGGGACTCTGTGAACCAAATGATTCAAAACCAGCATAATGAGATACATACATCATTTGATCGGAGCATCATAGTTTTGGAACATATATTTAAAGACAAAAATCTTTATTCTCAGTTGGTCAGCAAGATATCTCGAATGATTTTAAATTATATTTTTCACGAAGTTAAACGAGTTGATAATGTAGGCTTCGATAGCGCAGTGTGGATGCACAATTGTGAAAATATATGGTCTCTCATGTGCTTGTGTTATTGCAAAAATGGTGAAACTTGGTAGCCCAATAAGAATAGATAAGGTTTTCACTCGCTTGAATAGGCTTAGGTTTGATGATGATGGTGTCATGAATGACGATAAATCAAATATCTCTATCTTGACCAAATGAGAAGTGATACAAGAGAGATTTTTGAACGTTGGTGACAGTATGAAACTCCACATCAAATAACAATTGAGGAAGATTTCTTATCTTAAATCCACCGACTTGAAACCACCCTCTCAACCGATGAACATAAAAGGTGCTCCGAAGAAGCTCAAGCCTACACTGAGTGACAATTCAACGGCGTGGTCACCTTCATATTTTGAATATGTTGACAAAGTTTTTTCGAACTCGCCAACTTCAAAATCACAAAAAAAAAAGTGTTTTCAAAGGAGCTCGCAATAGCAAACCACCTTTTTCGCCGCCTCCACCAAATATTTCATTTATTGAGGAGATGTCATTTTTTATTCATAAATATAGTGAGTGGATCGTCAATGTTGAGGATGATGGTAATTGTGATTATCGAGTTGTTTCGGCTTTACTCAATAAAGGAGAAGATAATCATACACTTGTTTGCCATCAACTTATCCATGAGTTGAGAACTCATAAAGAATCATACACACGAATTTACGAAAAGAAAGAAAACTTTGATGCAATTTATGAGTCTCTTGCTCCATGCCTTAGTGGACCGGCACCGGAGGCAAATTGATGTGCTTCCCTGAAATGGGTCACCTCATAGTATGTGCATATGATAAAGTTTGTATTGATCTTATACGGTACAGTTTTTTTGGAAACCTTTTTCCCATTATGCACCGTCCAACCTCAAAATTCAAAAGATCATATTGTGTGTATTTGGTGTCTTTCAAAATCACGGAATTTTATTCAAGATTACTTAAAATTGGGATGCCTCATACCACTTACATCACCGGAGTGGGCAACGCATTCAACAACAAAAGCCGAGACTTGGCCGGACCATTTTGTGGAAAAGATGCAAGAGTTTAAAAATTTGAGCAACATTTAAAGAGAATCAAATGCACAAAATTCAAAGATGGCACCACCCATAGATTTAGCCGACGACAAATCTTTCATTTGTTTTAACTTTTTGTTTAACCGAACAAATAAGTGTATGTAATTGTGTCTCAATATTAACGAAGTGTAATATATACAATTTCTTAATATTTTAATGCATTTTATATCTTTGCCAAAACATT